AGCTTGCCTTGAATCACACAGAAAATATGAGCAGCCATGGTTTGAATCCAAGTAATTTAGAATCTTACATCAGCATCAGTGGCATCAACTTTAAGAGCAGCCACTTTGCATAAAGATGAAACAAAATCCTAATGACTGAAGAACAAGCCAAAAGTTCACACTGATCTCTCTTTGTTTTCCTGGAGAGTAAAATTAAACCATAATGAAAACCATGAAAATTCTGTAAGCACATGAATTCACACACCAAAAACTTCCTCAAAGGCAATATTCACAGAGACAGACATCTCCAGATCCCTTCTTGTGAAGGATTTCAGCTATGCACAGCAGATCTTTTTTTGGCTGCTCCAACAGTGGCTTTGATGGGACAGAGCCTGTGGAAGAGATGGATCCTGTGGGATGACAACTGTCTTGTTGTTTCAGTTAAAGGCTTGAGTGTGGTGTGTTGGCTGATTCTTGGAAAGAATCTGATCTCATACTACAGGAAAATCTCTGTTCCTGTGCATTTTAACTTCTGCTTTTGTGTCTAAACTCCTCTAAGATGATGAAAGCCTGTAGATGATGAAAGCCATTTGTGCCAGTCTGCAATTTAACATCACTTATTGCAGCTTTGCTTTAGGTTAGGTATCCCTTGACTCTGCTGCTTTTATAATGTTCTATGGCTTTTCAAGAGGTTTTTTTTAATCCAAGTACCACTCAGCTGTCTCAACTTCATATGCACTAAAGTGTGTGTTATCAGATGCTCTAATGTTAAGGACACTGCAAAAGTGGTGTTGTCAAGGAATTACATTACAAGTAATTGTCTCTCTCACCATCATATCTTCTAGTAATGAAGAGAAAGAACATCAGAAATTCTGTTCATTATATTAAAATACTTTTTTTCTCCCCCAATCAGCATAAACAAATGTATATATAGACTCAGGGGAGTAATTCTTGTTAGGTCACCAAAACCTTTCTCTTTTAATTGGTGTAATATGAAGACAAAACTTTGCATCCGTTGCCTGCTGTTCATCCAAAGCAAGTGTAACAACAATTAAAACATGCAATTTCCCCAAGAGTGAGATTTATACATCAAAATTACATTTAGCTCTGGACTTGGGAACAACTTTTTTATTGCTTTAGGGTTGTATCTGCAGCTATTAAGAGACTTGGAGGTTTACATTCAACTTTTAAATCATGAACTTATACTTCAAAATAACCTCTATTTCTAGGATTTGCTTGATCCCTTTCAAATTTGGTTTTGTCTGCTTTACAGTGTCTTTCTGCAAATAAGGATATAAAACCTCCTATACTTGAATTAGACATGCAGTTCCTTCCTCTATTTGATCATATAATCTTGTTTTTCTTAGAACCTGAGAAACAGAAAGCCCTGATCACAACTTTTGACTAAAAATACTCCTCTGTGCAGCAGCTATAGTTACCAGTTCTCTGCAAAAGATTATTGTAAGGGCTTCTTGCAAATTCATCTATTCCTGCTAACTGTTCATAGAAAACTGGAGATTTTTAATGAATGTGATTCAAGCTTTAAAGAAAATAAATGCATTTATTCAAGTATATTTACTAGCTAATGAATCAAATGGAAAAACATGTTAAAGTGATTGTATGTATGAAACACTACAGTAGGAAATAACATTAGAGGTCTCACTCAGTTTGAAGCTGATTTATCAGACAAAATGCCCTTCACTGGCATAAGCAGAGATAAAATGTGATCAAACTACATCTCTTCAACTTACCAGCTTTTAGAAAAAGTGGTGACATGAAGCTCCCTGTCACAGAGATGATGAAACTTTCTGATTTCTGTACATAAAGTGTTTATATAGTGGAGAAAGTGAGCATGAATTCATTGCAGGACACAAGCCAGATTACAGTGCTGAAGAATGGTGCCTCTATTGCCTTGGCTGGTGACCCATGACAGTGACATCACTGCCTGCTTCAGGCATGATAATGCCATATAAAAACTTGTCTCGCAATTTTCTTCATTTATGATGAAAAGTAGGAAAGTGAAAAATAAGATCTGTCCTAATTCAATAATGTATGCAAAGCACTGCTTTGAATAGTATTCATCTGTGATATGACATTCAATAGATGACATTTTTGATACAGGAGGATACATTTCCTGCCTTGGAAAAACTTCAGCTCAATCATTCTGAGCCAGAGATAGTGGCCTTGTAAGCTGGCATTCTTTGATGCATGTTTTCCTTCTTTAAATAAATTTGGGCCTTCAGAGTTTAATTACATGCCCTGTGTCAGACATTTTTCACTGTGCTCATTTGTGTCTGGCAATAGCAATGCTGCTGCACAGCACATCTGTGTGGGGTCAGGCAGCTCCCTCCTGAACAGGAGTCCTGATGGTTGGATGCTGCCAAGGCAGAGGTCTTTTGTGAGTAGTTATGCCTCTCCTCTTCAAACACTTTCCAAACACCTTCACTTCAGGCACACTTACAGAAAAGCTCTTATGTGAGATGCAAGCTCTGCAGTTCAAGCAAATTGTGATTTCCCCTTCAGGAACTCAAAAAGACTGAATACAGACACCCTCAAGAGGCTGTCATTGACTCTCCAGGGAAGGGTTAACTTCACTGGTCTCATGAAACTTGGCAGCTGACAGAAGACTCAAGAGGGAGGATGGACCTTGGTCTTGCCTTATTTGAAATAAAATATAAAAGTCACAGAATATCTTCACTTCCTTTAAAGGACTTATCAAATTAATGAAAATATGATTCTAAAGTGTCTTTACAACTCTTTCATTCATCCACATCTGAGCAAAATGTGCTTATTAAAAATCAAGCTGTCTAAAATACCTCATATAGCTCAGAACTGCAGAACAGGGTCCATCTGAAGAGGTACATTTCTCCGAGCTGAACACTCTACTGATGCTTTTGCAAAAGACACAAGAGAAATTAAATGTCAGTTACTGATCAATATCATATATAATTATACTTTCAAAACAAAAATAGGAAGAAAGTGCACATTTGATATTGGAATTTGGGCTTCAAAAGGACTTATAATTAATAATGGAATTTTCTTTAAAAATTGGTGTTATCTGCCAAGGAGAACAGGCATACTAGATTAGGAAGCCTGCTAGCTCAACACTAGCTCTGAAACCAGATGGCCCTCCCCAGGTAAAGATCTGTGTTGTTAAAGACCTCCAGACTCCATTTGTTTAGATCTCCCATTAGCTGGATTCATAATGTGTCTTGGGGTTTTTTACATCTGGAAGGAAAGCAAGAGTTGTTTTCTATTCACCTGCTCATCCTTCCATTGCTAAAAGAACCCCCATGCATATGAAATCCAGACTTAATTAAAATTAATTTAAATTGTAATTTAGACCTGTGGGTGCTGTTCCACAGTATTTCTGCTTATTCATCCCCCTGCAGGCATGGCCTTGATAATGAAATACACAGAGGAACACTGAGAAATTCACTGGTGAGGAAAACTTGCAGTACTTCATTGGTAAGGTTACCCCATGTCCCAGCTCATTTCTGCAAGCCAAGCCTTGCTGTCTGTGATAATGAAAAAAGGTTTTCAATTTGTAAGCAGTGCCATTTCCTTCAGCAGCTCCCAAGAGTAGCACTGTGTCGAGGAAAGGTGAAGCTCCTTCAGTGCTTTCAGGTCATCTCAGCTGCTTTCAGAAGGGTAGAAGATGAATTTTGTCACACCTGCTAGAACAAAAAGATTTCTCGTGCTTTTCAGCCTTTTGTTAGAGATTATCCATGCAAGTAAAGGAGAGAGAGAAACAAAATCTCAATCACACAGTGAGAAAGAGGTTTGTGAGGGAGCTAAAAGTAATCTCCACATTAAAGTTGCTGGCCCATTTTTATACACGTGGCCAACGTAAAAAGGCAGTTATGGATGGTTCAGGCCTACCTACAGTTTTGCCTTTTCAAGGTATGACTTGATATTTTTGAATATCAAGGTTTTGATATTCAAGTGTGAATTTCAAGTGTTTTTTTTTTTGAAGATATTTTGTAATCACTTAGAGTTTTGTCTAATTCTAGGCAGGTAAACTCCACTAAAGATGCTGCTGGAACACAGATGCACACTTGTTGAATGGGAAGGCTTTCCATGGGTTTCCTGACTTGGTTTCAAGTGCCATTGTAAGAATTTACCTTGATCATAAGTCTTATTTCACTAATGAGCAGGAATCTGGTGGAATACCCACCCTAGGGGGTATTGAACTTGGAGAAAATAGTAAGAGGTCTGGGATATGCAGAAATATTTTCAAAATATTTTGAAGCATACTACTTGAGAGCACAATTTTTTACTTCTCTTTCAAGTAGGTGAACAGCTGATTTTTGTTGCCACTGGGTATCCAAAATGACATCTGGTGTGCTCAGGAGCCAATGCAACCAGAAAGTGCTCTCCAAAGAGAGATGATCATTGTCTCCTCCTGTGATATGGAAAGGCAAATTGGAACAATTGTTTTCTGCTACTTTCCAAAAATCACATGTTTTCCAGTAGACTGTTAGACGTATGATTTAAGACATCAGCATATTGTAAGGATTCAGCCTGAGAATTAAAATATATATTACTTAATACCCAGTTTATGCATTGAGGTAGTGTTGTAAAAGATTAGCCAAAGAGGACTGAAAAGAGGTTAATTTACTACACACACAGCTTGGATTGCTAACAATAAATATGATTGATGAGGACTGGCTCATAAAGAAGCAGAGCTGCAGTCAGCATGGACCTTGTGAAATAACTCTCAGTCTCTCCCAAGGGGAAGTTCTGTCCTATTTCAGCCAAGTGGAGTTTGAAAACTTTATGATAAAAGTCTTTCCTGTGCTGACTTTATTTTTCTCCACATATTCTTGTTTCAGATCACAGATGTTTTTTAAATAAAACAAAAAACTTTTTGTTTTATTTTTAAAAAACAACTTTTAAAACACAGTTGAATGATTCATTTAGGTATGGACATTTATTTTTAAATGCACTTCTATTTCTTGAGAGCACTGAATTACAAAGGTTATAATGAAGCAATAATCTGTATGAAAGTGATAAGAAATCTAGATCTCCATAGTCTCCAAGCAATTCTCCTGTAATAACTCTTCACGCACATGCAGCTCCTGTTCATATAAGCAGAAAAATTAAAAATAGAAACAGAGTACCATCAGAAAGGATCACAGACCAAGCACCAAATGCTTAATTAAAAATAATTATGAGGATAAAACTAAATAATTTTATTAAAAATATTAAAATACTATTATCAGGATAATTACTGGTATATATCTGCACTACATTGAATTATGCATTTTACTTGTGGGTTGATACCTCCACTCTATTTGGAATCTTTCTGGATTGACTAATTTTAGGTGCTGATACTTGGGATATTTTGCAATATATTTTGCAGAATATGCTCCACAGGTAAAGAGATACTAATTAAATTGGTTGGTTTGATACAGTTCAGTTGGGAAGCCATGGACAGCTGCACCACCAACACTGCCTTGGCACTGCATCCCCACCCCGCTGCTGCAGGGCCCCCAGGCCAAAGGCCTGTCCCAGAGCACTGGGGCAGGTGAGGCAGGAGAGCTGGGAGCAGCTGCCTCAGCTCCTGAAGCCCTGCCAGCCCAAGGGGCTGCTTTGCCCAGCACAGCTCCAGCTGCTGCCTCCTCCTCACCATTGCGGGATCCTTGCCGAGCACCATGAGGCCTCTGAGCGCCACGCGATGCATCTCCCTGGACTTGCTCTGCAGGTGCCTTGTCATGATCTGCAGGGCGTTTTCACTGCATTCACTCAAGTCCAGGCAGTCCAGGACCTGGAAGGCACAGGGCAGTGACAGGAGTGCCCAGCTGGCAGGAGCTCAGAACCGCACAGGCTGAGCCAAGGCAGCAGCACAGGGCACGGGCACCGTCCCAGGCAGCTGCGGCTGCGAGAGGGCAGAGAGCTGGGAGGCAGCTGAGCCAGGCAGCGCTGGTCATCGGGCTCACCTCCACCAGGAATGCCAGGAAGGGCAGATCCCAGCGTGGCTCCTCCTTATTGAGGTGTCGGAGCAAGTGGAGTGCGATGGGAGAACACACAGGGATCAAGACACGGCGCATCTCCCTGTCAGGGAAAAAAAGACACCAAGGCCCTGAGGTGGGGGGAGCAAACCTCTCCCAGGACTGACTCACAGAGATCCGGTCTTTCCCCAGCATCCCTGGAGGGGATGTGGGCTCTTTGTGAGGCAGCCCCTTCTGGGTACCTTCCTCTCCCAGCCTTTTCCAGTCTCCTTGGCCATCCCTCGGTGACAAGGCCCTCTGACCACAGGGACTGTGTGGGGAACCCAGGCACAGGGCACAAATATTGGGGGCAGTGGGGAGAAGGGGGTCTCACCTGGCCAGCAGACCCATGGCATAGTGCTGGGTGCGAGCACACAGCATCACGTCCCAGCCACGCTTGCGCTCCATAGCCACCACAACATGGTCCCACTGCAGTCGGCAGAGCAGAGCCTTCATGGCCTGCACTGCAAACCTGTGTGCAGAGCAAAGCTCAGGTCACACTGGGAGCACTGGCACTAGTCACAAGGGCATGGGAAGGACAGGAGGACAGGGACCTGTTGGGCTTGCTGGGCAGGCGGTGTTCCTTCCAGCACGCTCTCCAGAAGTTATCAACTTCCTCTGGTGGCATCTGCTGTGTGGTGATGACAACAAGGAAGAGCAGAGCCACAAACAGGCGGGAGGAATAAAGGTTCATTGCCTCATGGCTCTCGGGCACCTGGAGAATCACCCAGAGCCCCAGAGTTGCCTGCAAGAGAACAGCCCAAGGCAGCGCTCAGTGCCGAGGTGTCCATGGGGCAGGGCCCAAGAGCCGGCACAGGGGGAGCAGCGGGTCTGGTGCCCCCTGAGCCTGCCCCTAGCCCAGGTTTCAGCCCAGCAACTGAGGCATGGAGGGGTGCTGGAGAGGCAGCCGAGGGGCGAGCCAGTTCCAGAAACTCACAGCCAGGGCAAAGACATCTGTGTCATCCCCATCAGAGGTGCACATGCTGTGCAGAGGCCAGTTCTCCATCACACAGAGCAGTGCTGGCATCACTTTCTCCACTGCTGGTCCCAGTGATCCTATGGTTCTCCATATCATTGCAGCAGCTCTGTGGGATAAGAGCTCTGTGTCACTGGCATCTCAGTCACAGCACCATGCCCAGGTGGGGGCCCCGGTGACAGAGCCTTGAAGGGCATGGGGGGAGCATTGGCAGCAGGCTCAGCAAACAGAGGGGCCTGAGGCTCCTGGGCCTCTCTACCTGTCTGGCAGAGCCCATTGGACAGGCTGTGCAGGGCTGTGGGCCCTAAGGGCTGCTGAGCCCTGAGCTCTCAAGGCTCGTGGGCCCTGTACCTGTCACACGTTGGGGCACAGCGCAGGAGGGTCAGCACCATGTCAGCAGGGTGTTCTTCTGCCAGCTTCACAATGTCAACGTGCAGCCAGGCATCCACAGTGACTTGCGACAGGAGACTCTGGTGGATGTTCTTCACCTTGGCTGGCACCTGGAGGAAGCATGGGGGAGAGATGGAGCGTTGTCCAAGGGAACAACTTCCCCAACTATTTCAAAGAAGTGCTTCCCTTCTTCCACACTGTGCTGGCCTCAAAGGCTGAGGGGGCCCAGAGACCATGGCTTGAGGGGACACATGATCCTGGGAAGCCTCCAAATGTGACCCCAGGCTGCTTACCTGCTGCTGCTGAGAAGGGTCCTTGAAATAGTTGAATATGAGTTCCTGACTCATAGTGGGAGTGGGCGTCGTGTTAGTATTTGTGATGCCCTGAGTCTCTTCATTTTCAGTGTTTGTGATAGCCAAATCTTCAGTCACTGACGTGAGAAGTGCCTTTGCCCAGGTTTCAGTCACTGAGGTGTCAGGGTCTTCTGAGCACTCAGCCGATTCTGGGCGGACATCAGGCTCAGCCTGGAGCTCGGTCAGCCCCAAGTCAGGCTTGGCCGGGTCCTTAGCTTCTGCGCTGCTGGTCCTTCTACGTCGAATGTGTGGGGATTTCCAGAACTTCTGCAGGAGAACAAAGGACTGGGATGCCCAGGGTGTTCCATGCAGCGCTCCACACATGGTGCTGGGCTGAGCAGTGACAGCAGGCCCAGCTCAGGTGGGGATGGCTGCAGGCACCTTCAGGGTTTTGTGGAAGTGGCCACGGGCAAGTTCCTCCTCTTGTGTCTGGTCCAGAGCTCCATCTGGCAAAGAGCGAACACAGCCAGAGCTGAGGGGCTGCGGGAGAGGCTGGAGAACACAGCCCAGCCCTGCACGCCCCAGGCAGGGACAGTCCCAGGATGCCCCAGGGGATGGAGCATGGCCACTGC